GGGGCAGAGCTGCTCCCGGGCACCCCCCAGGGAAGACGCGTGCTCGCGCCCCGGGACGGGGGGCTCGGGGGCTGGTAGCCTGCAAAATATTTCCTTCTTGCATTTCAGAACAGAGGCTTCTCAAAGAAGAGTCACACGTTCCTGCCTAAAATATTTAAAAAAATGTCTGCTCAGTCCGCGAAAGAAAGACCCGAAAGCTTGCAGTTCCCTTTCCTTGACGATGAAGACACCATCTCCACAGTCAAAGAATCTAAAACCTTTTTTATTTTAAGGGGCCTGCCGGGCAGTGGGAAGTCCACTCTGGCCCAGGCAATTCAGGATAGGTATAAAGATGCCTGCAAGGTCGTCTCGGTCGATAGCTATAAAATCACACCGTTAATAAGAAGCACCGTGCCTGAAGAGTACTCAAAGGTGGATGAGGATCTAGTTGACTATTGCAAACGAGACATCAGCGTTATCGTTTTGGATGACACTCACCATGAGAGGGAACGACTGGACCAACTCTTTGATATTGCTGACAAATACCGGTACAAAGTCATCTTTGCTGAGCCCAAAACCCAGTGGCGGATGGATTGTTTGCAGCTGAAGGAAAAGAACCAGTGGAAACTGTCGGTGGACGAGCTGAAGAAGATGAAGCCGAGCTTGGAGAAGGAATTCCTACCCATGTATTTTGGGTGGTTTTTGAGCAAAAGAAGTTCAGAGATCCTGAGGAAGGCTGGCCAGGCCTTCTTAGATGAGCTTGGAAGTCTCAAAGCCTTCAAAAAGGAGAGTAAATACTGTATGTATAGATGTATCTTACCATCTCTTGGTGAAATGTTACCAGTCAGCGCAGGGAGCGAGTTCAGTCAGCTTCTGAAGTGAATTTCTGGTTAAGGTTAGCAAGGAGAAAAACTTGAAAGCTACTGATCTGTTCCCTGTAGCTGACAAAGTTGCTGTTGTAGGTAAAAATAAAAGCCAGGGCTTTTCCTGAGGAGCCCGTAGAGCGCTGGCGCTGTGGGAGCTGCCCCCGGCCCGCAGTGGCGTTCTGGTGGCTCAGCACCCCCCGGGCGCTGCCACGAGCCCGAGACAAGAGGGAGAGACTGAACAACCTCGTCCCTGAGGGGCTTCGTGCAGTGGCAAGGTTAAGAGGAGCCAGGATGATACGGAGAAGCTTCTGTTCTCTAGTCACATCCCCTGTTAGCCCGGGGAAGGGGGCATTTCACCCACCCATCAAGCCCTTTTCAGCAGTTAAGAAAGATGAAACACAAAGGACAGGTTGGGGAAGAAAGTGAGACGGGACTGAGGCTCGTGGGTGACATCAGGGGATGGGGTTTGGACACTGATGTTGTTTACTTGTACTTGCAGTTGCTTCTGCTATTGAAGACCCCAAAATAAAAATAGATCTGACCAGCTACTTCGTGAAGAGGCCGCCCGGGGTCTTACACTGCACCACAAAATACACAGACTTTGGAAAAGCAGCTGGAGCCGAGGAGTACGCACAGCAGGAGGTGAGTACGGGCTCTGGCTCCTCCCGTGAGCCCCGTCCTGTCCCCACCCCCAGGGATCCCCGAGCCCCTCGGGGGGGACACGCGGCTTTGCTGGAGCCGAGAGGGCAGCCGGGGACTGCGGATACGTCCGTCCACGTGGCCTGTGCGATGGAAAAGCCCTAACTGTGGGGAGATGGTGACGATCTCCCGTTGTTTTCCAAACAAAATACTCCTGTGTCCGTCCCCCCCCAGCCCCTACTTGCAGCGTCATCTCCAACAGCCCGATTGGAACGATGATGAGTTTAAAGTATTTACACTTCCAGCTAAATCGTTTCAAACCAGCTAAGCCCAAGTTAAATCTTGCAGTTTGTGAAGGGCAGATGTAACCGGCTCCAAGTTCGCGGAGCAGGAACTTGAGGCGCGACCCTCCTGTCGCACCCGGCGTCCCGTGGCTCAGGCTCTGTCCTCCCTCCCCGCAGGCGGTGAAGGCTTCCTACGGCAAAGGCTTCACCTTGGCCATCTCTGCTCTCTTCGTCACCACAAAAACTGTTGGGGCTCGCGTAGAGCTGAGCGAGCAGCAGCTGCTGCTGTGGCCTGGGGACGCCGACAAGATCCTGCCCGCCGAGAGCCTCCCGCGGGGCAGCCGGGCCCACGTCACCCTCGGCTGCGCCAACAGCGTCGAAGCCGTCCAGACCGGGCTGGATCTGCTGGAGTTTGTGAAACTGGAAAAGGCAGGGAACAAAGGGGAAGAAGTGGGAGAAATTGGAGGAGGGAAACTGCTGTATTTTGGTAACGGTATGTGGATGCTCATCCTGTCTAAAAAGATCGATGTGAAGGCAATATTCTCGGGTTACTATGGAAAAGGAAAACTCGTGCCCACGCAGAGCACCAACAAACGGGGCTCTGCCTTCAGCTCCTGCACCATCATCTAGGGGCAGGGGCAGGGCAGCTGGTTGGGTTGTTTTTAAAAGGCAAGTAACTCCTGTAACCTTTAAAAGTGTAAAGAGAAATAATTCTACCTTACTAAAGTCAGCCCTTTCGCCAGCCCCTCTGCGGAGAGAGTTCATTGGCCTCGAACAGGGAAGAAAACAAGCAGCTCCTGACTGACAACGCAAAACTCTCCCGTAACTGGTGCCAGTAACTGAAGTGCTGCTGGGTGTTATTTTACTGACATTTTGGGAGAACCAGCCGTGGCGTTCTGCTTGTTTTCTTCCTCGGAGGAAGATCAACTCTGGCCTCGTAGAGCTTCCCCATGAACCACAATCGTCAGAGCTTTCCCTGTGGGTACGAGCGGTGGCAGAGCAAAGCCCGGACGGAGCCGCCCCGAGTCCCGCAGCCGAGGGCCGGGATCAGCCGCCGGGGAGCGGAACTGCGGGGTCAGACCCGCGGGATCTGCTCGTGGCCCTTCCCGTGGCCCCCCGGCTCCGGCGGGGCAGGTTCTGGTGGTTCAGCCCGT